TAAAAGGTATGGATGGTTTTCTGATAGCATGCTGGATTAGACTATGCTGTCAGAGAACAAAGAAGATGGGGAAGGGAAAGTTGATGAGGCTGGACTTTGTAAAGACATTGTTAGGGAATGACCAAATATTTTGCAGAAAAATTGAAGGGATTGAGATTTTGTAATAATACTGTTGATTTATAGGTTTTTCTTTCCAAGAATTACAAGATTCTTTCACATATTAAAAAGAGTATGGTACAGAAGAAAGAGCACTGGAGCTAGCTGTTGAGCTTTGGCCAAGTCAGTTAATCTCTGGGCCTCAGTTTCCTCATTTGTAAAATGAAGGAGATGGACTTGATGACTTAGGGCCGACTTTAACTTTCAATCTATATGATCTCATTTTCTCCTTAAAGAATCTTTGAAGGAAGGTGGAGCACATATAAACAGCCTTACTTTACATAATGAGAAATTGAAACACTGAGATATAAAATTACTTAGCCAAGGTTACCATTAGATCTCCAAAATTTTGATTTGTGACAAGTACCAAAAATTAATCCCTTTCTAAGTAGTCTGAATGCATGAGCAAAATGACGTTAGACTTTCCATGGAAACAGGCTGAGATTGTTTGAGGGACAAAAAGACTGAGAGCAAATTACGTAATTTCCTAGTACCTTCCCCAATCTCAATTTCTCTTCATTTTAAATATCTCTTTGGAGCCAGAATCTAGAAAGAGCTAATGACAGCAGAAAAAGAAGTGCCACCTAGTACCCCAAACATTGCACATGGCAGGTAGTTAATAAACATTCATTGAATCAAAGGAATGAAATATTGATTCCTCTATTAAAAAGAATTCATCTTTGTCTCCCCTTCCCAATCTCTTCTACCTTTTTGAAGACTTTGCTAAATCACAAGTTTGATTATTATTGAATCTCAGAGTAATAGCAACTATAGGTACTATTCAATACTCCATAAAAACCCACTTCTAGGAGAGAGAAAGGTAAAATCCACCTTTGGGTTAACACTAGAGCTGATTCTTATTGAGGGCTACTCAGCATGGCAACAAGGCAAATTTCAACTATACGATATAGCTATTCTCCCTCTCTCTTGTGCTAGGCTTGGAAAATGAGAATTTGGAATGAAGGCCTTGTAAAGCTTTTTCTACCTTCTGACCTGCATCTAATTTAGCTATTTCTCTAGGCATAAATTAAAGAAAACAAAAAGCCAGTTATGGGGAGGTAGACTTGTGGCTTTATTGGGACATTCTTCAGTGCGACTAGAAGTATTTTAATAATAAAAAAAATCAGATAACTCCAGTATCTACTTGAGGGACTTAGTGAGATGAATATATTTCTCTCCATTTTCAAATGCTCAAGCTAGTATTGTCAGTGTCTATTATTTAGCAAGGGGCAGCTAGGTGGTACAGTGAACAGAGCACCAGGCCTAGAGTAAGGAAGACTTGAGTTCAAATCTATCCTCAGACACTTACTAGCTATGTGACCCTGGGTAAGTCATTTAACCTTGTTTGCTTCAGTTTCCTCATCTGTAAAATGAACTGGAGAAGGAAATAGCAATCCACTCCGGTGTCTTCGCCAAGAAAATCCCAAATGGGGTCACAAAGAGTTATACATGACTGAACAACAAATTATTTAGCAACATCAACTTCTGGTGTATTGTTGGCAAATGTTTTCCCTGCTCCCCCCAAAAAGTTTGCCCCATTCTAAATTATTGAATCTGATGATGTATCAGTTGAGAAATTGGAAATATATGGCTTATAAGGACACAGATTTATGTTGAGAAATGCAAGTAAATAGCAACATCAACAAGCCAAAGTGTGATCAACCAATGAGGATATTCATAAATCTTTATCAGATTCCAAGACAAGATATTAGGTGAGAGCTACTTCAGTGCAAAATTCGATCTCTACAAAATCCCTTCCCCCCTCCTCTGACTTTTTTTAACCAGGTCTATAATTTCACCAGTGTAGTAAGCTCCCTGTGAGCATGGGAGTCGTGTTTACATTAGATAACACTATCTGCTCATGAAGCTTGGCACCTTCTTTGCAATTTGTAGTTTTAGAGAATTGTCTGGAACACTGAGAGAATAAAGTGACTCGCTCAACTGGCATGTATCAGGATTTGAACCTAGCTCTTTCTGATTCATTGTGTACCTAATTAGCCAAATGCCTCAAATAAGAGCCTAAATATCATATGATAGACCATTAAAAGACTTTCAGACTCTAAAATGATATGATTCTGTGTGTGATGGTGATGGTGAAGAAAACTTGATCAGATCAAGTTCCATAGAATTCAATTGCTCATAGCTAATGAAGCACAGAATGCTGGATACATCAACATATCAAAAATTGACTCTATGGCAACTATTGAGCACTTAGAGGAATATTCTAACTTTAAGGCCAATTGAACAAACCAACTTCATATTTACCTAGAGACAAAATTTAAAGCCAAATTTTATAAGGCAACAGAGTACTGTAGAAATGATGCTGGATATGGAGACAGAGGACCTGGGTTCAATCCCCAGCACCATCCCTGAACTACTTATACAATGCTGGGCATATCCCTTAATATCGTTAAAAGAAGAAAAAGAAGATGGATTTGGATTTAAAGGCTTCTATAGTTCTTCATAGTTACAAATTTATTATCTTATCACTTCTCCTTATGGTTTCCCTAATAGAATTCCTAAAAGTCCATGCCAGCCAATGGCACATTCCACATCTTACTGAACAATATTTTTAAAGAAGAGGAGTCAGATCATTAAAAAAAAAATCCTAAATAGACAGCAATCATTTAATTGGAGAGACTAAGTTGTTTATTACCAGCACCTATTTCTTTGTTTACTAGACCCTCAATTTTCCTCTGTAAGACTAATCTCTTTATAGCCATTACCATTATAATGGGACATCTCTATGTATCCAAAATTCTAAGCCCCAGTTGATGCCCCTCCCCCCCTTTTAAGTAAAAGTCAATGTAACAAAATTTCAGGCCTAAAGAATTCAAATTAGCATTCACTACAATGGGATTTGACTTCTATCATTAGCTAAAAACACTGTCCTGATAATAACTTAATGAAATTTATGCCAGTGTACCAAAGCCTGGTCTCTGGGAAGCTGTGTGTCCACTAGGAATTTTAGATATAAATCACGACTTGACTCTAGTTAAAAGGAGACATTCTTCACTTTTATTGCATAATTATAGACAATGCAACAGTAGATTTTAAAAATTATATTTAACACAAGTGAATAGTTTAGAAGATCTGAAATGTTATAAAGCAATATACATACTGAATAAATAATATGCACAGGAGAGTCATGTCTACATTACATAACACTGGCTAGTATTTTGAATACTTAAAATAAATCCAGTGAAAATGGATAAAGTCCATAAAAATGCTATCCTGTCTTCCCTTGTATGAAATTGTTCAAGTATAAAAAGTCCAATACAGTGTAAAATATTATTTGATTTAGGTTAAGAATAAAAATTGCAAGTATTGTAGTTTCATGAGAAAAATGTAAAGCAGCATTTTAAACTACATAAAAAATAGTGGGGAAATTGGACTAATGAATTGCCAGGAAAGTAGATCTACACGAGCAAAATACTGAAGAGGAAGTAGTATGAAACTAGCAACACATTCTGTAAAAAACCTAAACTCTGTTAATGTAAGAGTACCCTCTCATACAGTGCACATACTGAATTTAAATAAATCTAAGTCAACATCTTTAGCTGAATAGGTTAATATTTAATATGCTACATCTAAACCTACTAAATAATTTATGCCATGAGATGAATACATAATTTTACAGTGTCACATCTAAAGTTCCTTTCTTTAGAGTGCAGCATCGTAAAACTTCAAAATAAATATTTTTTAAATAGCATTACAATTAAGGCACAGTATAAACCACATATCATTAACCCTTGAAGAACTGTAGTCTCAGGAACCTTGTTGTCTTATTTACTGAGTTCCCTAATAAATAGTTTTAAATAGGACTCTGTAATAGACACAAAAGTCATATAAATCATTTCAAAAAAGAAAAAAAAATAAGTTTCCTTAAGACAGTTCTCAAAGGTTCAAATTCTGCAAACTTCTTCCTGCCTTTATTCACAAGCCACGAGTCAACGTAATAAATAGAAAGAGAAGGCTGTTGTAGTAAAGGGCTGATCCTATTTCAGAATCAGAATAGCTGACACCAGCAGTTAAAAGTTTCCCAAAATTGAAACAGGATGGGGAGAGGGATTAGAATGTGACAAGCTCATCAAACAAGCACAAGTGATGTGTTCTTTCCAGAACTGTCTGTGTTATTGATTGTCTGTACAGCTGTTGCACCCATTACTTCCACATCACTTGCTCCATAGTTCCACTCATCCAGAGGACAGATGAGAAAATAGCTTTGGTGCCTGCCCACCATTTTACCAAACGGCCATGCTCCTCAGGATTGTTCGATGCCCATTATGAGACAGCAAGAAAATCACTTTCTTACTTGAACAAGTTCTATAGGCCATAGTGAAAACTAGAAATGACAGTCAGTGCTTTAATTATTTTTAAAAATATGTTTTAAATGTTATATAAGCTACATATTGCTCACTCTGATTTCTTTTCCCTGGTTTAACTTTTTCAAAACAACATTTTCTCATTTGAAAAAGGCAGTTTGCTTCCCTGATACTATTTTAAAAAAAAACAAACAACAAAAACCCCTTTATTTTATTTTGTCAAATGAAGTTCTATTGTTACTCCTATAGTCTTTTCATGGCAGTGCATTGTTTATTCAGTGTCTCCTGGATTGACTCCTGAAACTAATTCCTCCCACTCCCCTGGCCCTCACCCCTTTCTCCCATAGCAACACGATTGGAGTACAAAGACAGTGGAATAAAAATCTCCTGATTTGCAGTAGCGTAACTTTTCTTAAAGCTGCTTAGTTAGTGTTAACCACCTTATTATCTACTTAAAACTGGAAGGCTGGGGGAAAATAGAGAAAGAAATTCAACTCTCTTCAGATGGCTGGTCATTCATTATTGCATACGGTCTGTTTGCAGCTGCTGTGGCTGATACTGGCCAAATGCTGCTGCCGCTGCCGCTGCTGCTGCTGCTGCAGCAGCTGTCCCAGGTGCTGCCGCGGTGATTGGCTGCTGGACTGCATAGCCGTAGCCCCCAGCAGTGACATATCCTGCAGCAGCTGGAGATGCTGCATATGGGTACTGGTCATAGGCTGCTGCCGCTGCAGCTGCAGCAGCTGCTGAGTATTGTGCATATGCAGCTCCAGTGTAATCAATGTAAGGTGTGGTGGAGGCAGCAGCTGCTGTAGGTTGGACATGTGGAATTACAACTCCAGGCTGCACAAAAGCCTGTGGATAAACATAATGGGCAGGTATCCTGTTGAGAAATAGAAAAGAATGTCAGATCATGGTGAGCTCCTATGTACAAAAGATCTGTTGTTCAGAAGTAAAACAAACTCAAAATTTAGTGGTTATTATGAGCATAGGGTTGCCACAATAGCTACATTCTAGCAGTCCAATGAATGCACTCTGGCAGTAGCCCAAAACATATGTAGTGATCAGAAAAAGAAGCCAACAATAACTGGAGCTAAACACATCATGACAGCATTCTTATTTATATTGTTTGCTCAATACCACCAAATATGAATTAATCGCCTCATCAATAGTTAAGGGAATAAGTCAAGGTTTAGGATTTCAACATTCCACTTAAAGGTATTAATAGCTCTTGACTTAAATATTAGAGTCAGATTTTAGAAAAAAATTAAAATCACTCTATAAAAGAAAAAAAATTCTGACAATCAGAAAAATTCTCAGTTGCAAGCATTGGACTTTTTTCTCTTTTTTTAAAGTACCCTGTCACCAGTTAGGTCCAAAGGATGGGAGCTAGTTTGTCTTTACTGATTCACTGAAGAAAATTTCAACCAAATATTTAGGCAGGAAAATGGACCTTGTTTAATTATCATGGCAACCCTACTTAAAATTGCTATGCAGACTCAGCACACATTAATTTCTCTGCAACCTCAGTCACCCTTATTAAAAAATAAAAAAAAATAAGAAAATGCAGGCGACAAAAAAAGTTTAAAAGTTCACAGGTGTGGTAGACACAGCAGAATCACACTTTTCAAACGAACTGTAGTGCAGCTCACTCTGTCATAAAAAGGCTGTTGTGGGAAGCTACAGAAATGCTATTAACATTCATTGCAGTGGTTCCCAAGTAGATGTGAAGCACACTTATTTTTGAGGGTAAAATTTGTAAGGACACAAGGGTCAATCAAACCTGTTTGACTATCAGGCAACTGATGTCAGCCAGCTTGTTTATCTCTATGCAAGACAGACAGAGGGGTTGGGGGGAGGTGATGAGGTAGAGGGGGTAGGAAAATGCATCTAAAATATAATAAAATATATAATATATGAAAAATAAAATATAAAATATAATTTTAAAAGGTTTATAAAATATCTAAATAAAAAGACATTTCTTTTCACATTCACTAACTCTCCATTTTCTTCTCCAAACCAAAGAAGATGTAGCTTTATTCTTTTATAGGAATGGTGATTCCATTCATATGTACGTGTAGAAATGAAGTCTTTTATTACATAATACCATATAAAAGCTGAGATGTAGCCTGTCATGTGAAATCAAGCACCCGTTTAAATTAATCACATGGAGCATACATTCTCCCATCTCACTTATAAAGTTCATGTGATTTAAAAAACAAGTTTGAGCTGCAAAAAAATGCACATCTCAATTCTTAATAACGAAATTTCATTAATCCTTAACTAAAATACCCCTATAAATATGTGACCTATTGATTCCACCTTTGTACAATATAACCACCAGTGGAAAACACTCCAGATATCTAGAGACATTACACCAAAATTCCATCCAAAATTTAGCAAATCAACAAAACCTATTAAAAATTCAAACAGTGGTTGTCTTTAAGCTTGCTGTTCAGGAATCCTAAAGTTAGAAATCATTATGAAATTATATTTGTATTATTCACTTTGCTTTTTCAGAGTTTCCCTTAAACAATACTCATATCTATGCCAGCCCAAAGCACAAAAAAGTTTATTCTAATGGTGAAAATACAGTGAATTTTACTAGACTTGTAGTTCCTTCCCTATGCCAACACAAACCACGTCATCATATATTCCGGAGGACACTTAGAGATATTCTTAACTGTTTGTTAGGAACTAGACACAAAGCCCTGCCCATAAACTCTTGTAATTTTTTTTCTAAGTTAAGTAACTAACCTCACTAAAAGTAACAGGCGTTGGCATTATGAAATGTTATCCCTGTGGATCATCTCTCTCTCCATTATATTGGTCTCTCCCAACCTTTCACTATCATGCCATTTTACATGGGTGATTGACAGCACAGGCTGCGGCGGGGCTATTTTTGATCATGTCATGAGACAAGGGTTTCAAGCAGAGTAAAATGTCTTTATAAGGCCAAAGAAAACTCTGCTGTATCTGCTGTAAAGGCCAGCAAGCATGGATCTCACTAATACTGAAACATTAACCCCACTGGACTCCTACAGGCCTAAAGCAGCTGAAGCAGTGACTAGGTTGGCATCTTTGATTAGGCTATTAACTTGAACAAGTTTTGCTCTGGGGGAATGAGGTTTGAGTTTGTGTTATAAGATTTGATTTTTTTTGCATTTGCTTATTAACTTTTTCTCTTTTAAGTAACAGAGATATGTCCAGAGAATTACATTTATAAGGGGAGTCCTGTAGTGTCCCAGTCGCCGGAGACAATGTTTTCCCACTGAGAGTAGCTTTTCTCTGATTTGATTATGCCAATGAGTAAGTAAACTTGTCTTAACACATGTCAACAATCTGCATCAGACTGCCTGTGAACATCAAGTGAGGGAAAAAAGAAGAGTCTGGGTGGCATATGAGTTAACTGTGGCATAATCATTGAAGACTGGGGAAGAATTCAAACTCCTTGAGGGCAGGGACCACTTATTTTTCATTTTTATTTTTTTGTAGCCCCAGTACTTAGCACAGGACCTGGTACATAGTAAATGCTTTACAAATGCTTGTTGAATTGAATTAATAAATGCATTTGAATCACAAACATTAAAAAACAAACAAAGCCTGGGAAGAGGGTAAAATTGAATATCAGGGTAGCATGTTTGCAATGGTCTCCCCAGGAAGACAACCCCTTCTCCAGACTGGGGAGCCTTTACATGAAGTGTGGTGGACTTCTCTCTGCCATATTTCTACTAATTCTCTCTCCCAGTTCAATCTCAGAAAGTAGAGGCTAGGAGGTATGGCAAAAATGAAACAAAGAATACAAGCCTGGCAACCATCTTTTGAACTCTTTTATTTCCCACCCATACACCCTCACTACCACCTCTCCAAGGTCCCAGGAAGAGAAATCTTCCTCAAACACAAACCAAAAGAAGCTTAACAAAACATTGTTCTAAAATTAAATAAAGTAGAACAAAACACTGCACATCAGATGGCTGTCCTAACTGTAGTCGGGAGCTTAGTATTTAGTGGTTCACAGTACACTTGAAACTATTTAATTTTCAAATAAAATGGTAAAGTTATTATTACCTTAAACTATACAAACAATAACAAAACCTTTTACAGACATCAACAAAAACCATGTACCACTTATCCACAATTTGAAATAATCTCATCTGATTAGGCATAGTACTTAGGATAAAAGCCCATTCAGTGAAAAAGAAAACAAGTTTATTTTCAATTTCAGAATGCTTGAACAGCAGAGTAACTCGCCAAATTAAGAAGACTAATTCTACTTGGAACCTGTATTGTTTGTAAATAAATACTTAGCACAGTGTCTGACACATAGTAGGTGTTTAGTAAATGTTTATTAGATTGAATTAAGTGAAGTTAAATAGAATAATTTATTCAGCCATTAATAGGTGGCTTTTGCAACTAATAACCACCACAGCTGAAAATGTGTTGCATTTAAAATTTCCATGTAGCACTTTCAACTCAAGTTCATTTTGTTAATCTTCTGCTCAAAAACATACAATGGCTCCCTATTGCCTAATACATTAAAACCAAACTCTTCTGATAGACATCAATCTCACCATAATCCTATTATCCAAGTTTATTTCTCATGACTTCCCAATATTTGCCATCTGCTAAGATCAAGTTGGTTTCCTTATTGTCACCACAGGAACATGTCAGACTCATTCTCACTTCTGCGCCTTGGCTAATATGTCTCCTCCAACTCCCACCCAGAAATGTCTCCCTCCAACCATCCATTCAAATTCTACCCATCCTTTAGGATTCATTTATCCCATCATCTCCACAGAGCCTTCTTCAACACTCTCTCCAATAATGATCTTCCTTCTTTGAGCACACGTGCCATATAATTTAGCAGTTTGTTATATCCTAAATGATTTAGGAGTGTTAGTTTTGTCTCTGCACATAAACTATAAGCTCTTTGAAAGTACAGAACATGCCTTATATGTCTCTGTGATCATCTACTGTCTAGTAGAGTGTGGCATACGTAGTAGGCATTAATAAATTTTTACTTGGTTAACATTACGTTTCAAAATGACAGACTACAAGATCTGTCAAATCATGATAAATTACTTCCCACAATTCTCTATTACTTATGAGTAGAAATGCTAATCACATGCATAAGGAATTACATATATATATATATATATATATAGTTTTTTTTTTGTTGTTGATCCCCAAACTATTGTGGAAGACCATTGATGAGTGGCTATCAATATAATAAGGCATTTTTCAATTACTTCATACTTCCCTCACTTAGGTTAAAAAAAAAGTAAGTTTAGGTAGAAAGAAAGAAAAAAGAGTAGGTCCTTGGGTGTAAAGATGAGGGCTAGAAAAATACACTAAAAGTGCAACTTGTCAGCCGATTCTTCCTTATATACACCTGGAAGCATAGAAGGCACAACTAGCCTGGCAGCCAGATTCCAATGCTCCAGGCCACACATATGCAGTAAACTCAGATTAGGCATTAAGAAACCATTAGTTGGGGGGGGGCACAATGCTCCTTAAACAACTGGTATGTTTATAAAACTTAACTTCTGGCATCCACACAAGTTGCAAGGTACAGTATAGAGAGTGCAGACTACAGTCATCAGGAAAAATTAGCTGGGATAGCATCAGTCCTACACATTGTCTGAAAGAGGGGGAAGCAGGTAGCTGAGTTACAGAAGACTGCCAATCACAAAAATCAAGAAATGCAAAAAATACAGGTAGGCTTCCCCAAAGTTAGGTGTATGAAGTAAATATTAGTGCTACTATACTCAGAAATAGTCTGATTATTAAATCTGATGGGAAGAATTGGCGCTCCAAATTAGAAAAGCCCAAGCAGACATACATTGTTAAGAGACAGGTCCCCATACCCACCAAAAATTAATAAAAGAAAAGAAAAAATGACACCCCCCCCAAGAAACTAGAACATGCAAGCAGTGAATATCTTTTCTTACATAGTGAAGTCACACATTTTAGCACTCACTACAAAAATATGGTTAAAAGGAAGTCACAGGCTACAGCTTAAAAGCGAGGAAAAAAAAGACCCTTTGCTCCCCATGGCAAAGTCAAAGTCAACAACACTCCTCAACACCACCACCAAAAACCAAAACAAAAAAGACCTCCCCCCCCCCAAAAAAAATCACTTTTCACTACAGCTCTTTTCAATTAAATAAAAAGCACACGTTTAGCTATCAACACCACTTCATTACCGTAATAAATAAAATAAAGCACACGGAGGTCTATTGACTATTATGAAAATAAAACAACAACATACATGCATCGTTAATCACCATCTTAGCTTGTGTGTTTGAGTCTACTGGTTACAGAGTTTAATTCCAAACAGAACTATTCCACATCTTATCATCATATCCTTCTGATCAGTTAGCTTAACTGTATACGATCCCTGTCAGATTAGAAAGAGATAAATAACATTGAGACAAGCTGAAGAGTTAGAAGATCGATGGGGCACAGTGGTCTTGTACACAAGTCATACCTCTTTTTTTTTTTTAATCATAAGCTCAAGAGGTGTCTGGATTGGAGGACTGCATACTTGATCACATAACTTGACTCATCTAAAAACATTTATAGCATCACCATCAAGAAGCAAAACAGGTATTTTTTTTAAAAGAGAAATCAGGAAAACTCAATGGCAGGATGATATTGTCCATGTGTGACAAAGGCAGGCTAACAGATGATATACTTGTACTTTGGAGAACCTGTTTGATTGACTTACCCAAAAGGTCTCTGTATAAGAGCTGGGTGAAGTTGTTGAACACCAAAGGCAAAACCTAACAACAAAACATATTACATTCTCTATATGAACATTCCAACAGCTACTTATTACTGCTATACATAAAATATACAATGACAACTTTCATTTTATATTTGCATTAGATACACTAATTTAAGTCAGGTAATTTTTTTTAAAAAAGAGAAAACTATATTTGAGGAGTGGGAGAAGCTGACAAACCCGCATTTAAACAAGTTTTTAAAAGTTTCATATAGCCCACTAGTTTGGATTTTGGCTTAAAAATAAATCATTCAAAATGAAGACAACAACTGATAGAAAGCAGAGCATTCATTATGTGCAAAGTTTTGCTGACATAAACACACTCTAAAAGACCTTAGGAGGATACCACAATGAATAGTGCTTATGAATTCAACTAAGCACAACAATACTGCTTCATGTTGAATTTTCCCCCACAAATATCCTTATCCTATAGCATACTAAATTTATGAGTTTCAATGTTTATAATACTAATTTGAACTTAGTATATGACTTCAATGGTCTATGCAAGTTTATAGTCAAAGAATCATAGATTTGGAGCTCAAAGAGATCCCAGAGCTCATCAAATGAAATTCTCTCATTTTACAGATGAGGAAACTGAGACCTAAAGAGGTAAAGTGATTTGCCCAAGGTAACAGCTAGTAAATTGCCAAAAGTAGGCTCTGAATCCAGGATCTCTGAGTCCAGAGTCTTATCTCATCACACTCTATCATACTATGAGTAGATTTTATGGATAAAACTTTTTTTAAAAAGCCAATAAAACAAATTATCTCTTCTTTTCTTTTTCTAATAGGTATATACTTACAATGTACTAAAGATATACATTTTGTTTTTCTCTTATTGAAAAATAGATACTTCAAATTGCTTGCATATCAGTTATCTACCCCTATGTTGGTATACGGAGACACCTGTCATTGCCAAGGCAGGGAAAAATCTTTTTGAGTACAGTTTGGATTGAAGTAGAAATCAATCCTCAAGATTTTAGAATCTTAATAATCTATGCATCTAAACATAAAAATTTGCTTTTTTAAAATTATATGTATCTTCTACTTTCAGTTATCCATGCAAATGGAGGAAGGCAGAGTTTTGAATAATCCTGAATAGCAGATTATCAAATAATCACTTCTGCTTTATAATACACAAGGTGTTTTCCCCCTCAGCAGATGTCCTGTATTACTTATGGTTTGTTTAGGCTAGTACTCAGATTAGTTTGCATTCCCCAAGCACATGTCAAATGAGAAGGGAAGCAGCCCAGAAGAGTATTAGGTAGACAGGTGTAGCCAGCCTGGGATTAAAAATTTGGCACAAATAAGGGACATGTTGATTGTGCCTGCAGATAAATGAGAAGAATAAACTGCAATCGCATGTTATTCATTAATGAGTAAGACCTATAAATCTGGGTCCATACAAAGCCATCTGGAATAATATTTCTTTTTTATCTAAGATTATGCTTTTTACAGACACTTTTCTATGTTTGCAGTTTACACATATCTTCATTTATCTTTAAAGTGAAAAAATGTTTCTTTATAGAATGACCAATGAAAAGCACCACTCTACAATAAACCAACGGGTTCTGGGGAAGGCTCTGTCTTCTGAATCATTGTCTCTTTCTTCACAAGTACCAAAAAGGACTGTTTCTCACCTGGTTGCATGATCCTGGGTTTTGCCCCCAAGTATGCCAGATTCACGTTGGCCTTTCTGCCATCAATGATAGGGTTGGGATCCTTACAGGCCCTTTCAGCAGCAGCTCTGTCAGCCATGGTGACCTTAGCAACATACATACACACACAAATGCTACAAATTAAACCTGTGAAGGAAACTTACTAAGCACTCACACACAGGCACTCGTTGTCTAGCATTTCTTTATCATGATCCCTTTCATTCCACAAAAGGAAAAAACAAAAAACAAAAAACCTTCCCGTTGGCCTGCAAAGCACTGCCCCCAGCAAGCAGAGGTTTGGAATCCTGATCTCCCTTGTCTTAACATTCTCCCCCTTGCCTGGCACTGCTGGTGGTCCCTATCCTTAGGCCAGGAAAAACAGTCGTTTAAAGAAAATGGCTCATTTAAGAAAGAATAAACCTTCCCCATCAGCCTCTTCCAGAATACTCTGTTCGATATTCTGTATGGGAGCTCTGTGACCTCGCTAACTTTAGGCAACTTCCTGACCTTGACTGCATAAGTAAGCCCAACCCTAATTAGGCATCCCCCCCCGCCCCCATAAATGGTGCTTTGGAAAGCAGCCACAAGACTCAGTTATATTAAAGCACCTACTTTTTAAAAGGTTAAAAAAATAAAATAAAAACAGGGGATGGGGTGGAGGAGAGAAGTTAGGACGGGGAGGGCGGATAGATAGACAGCAGCAGCTTCTTTGGAGTGTCCTCTCTATGACCCAATCGGGATCGCCAGGAGACGAGCATACTTTTCCAAAGCCATAGGGCAGCTAAACTTGCTGCCATCAACGTAGGAAAAGCCATTTCCCAGAGTAGAGGCTCATAGTCACCAGCCTCCTCCTCCCTCCCCTCCTCCCAAAGAGGATCTAACTTTTTTCCTCGCAACATCAAATCCTCCCAAACACTACAAAATCATAGATATCTTCCACACTTTTACTCCCTAGAAAACCCCAAGAGGTTCGGGAGACTGGCCTTCCCATTCCCTTTCCCCCACTCCCTCTGGTCGAAAAAAGTTTCAGCTCAGCCTGTGGTTAATATTAGCCTGGTCCCCCCTGGTCCCCGCCCCGAATCGCCGGCTTCCTGGGCACCCCTATTCCCCTCCTACCCGAGGGGGATCCCTAGTTTCTTCTGGCAGATGGGGCTCGCCTTTGTTCTCCCTTTCCTTCTCGCTCTCAGTCCTTCTCTCCATCTTCAAGGTCTCTGACCCCCCTCTCCCAATAACTCCCTCCCGCCTACTTACAAATCCATAGCCCCGGGATTTCCCCGTCTGCCGGTCTGTGATGACCACCGCCTCTTCGATCTCCCCGAAGACCTCAAAGTACTTGCGCAGGCTGGAGTCGGTGGTGTGGTACGGAAGCCCCCCGACAAAGATTTTGGTGTATGTGGTGTCCTTCTGGGTGGTGTGCATCTTCCCGCTCTCCCTGCGGCTCCGGCTAGGGCTCCGGCTCCGGCTCCGGCTCCGGCTCCGGCTTCGGCTCCGGCAGCGGCGGCGGCGGTTGCTGCTGCTGCTGCTGCGGCTGTGGCTGCTGCTGCTGCGCCGGCCCCTCCGCCCCTTCGTTTCCCTCACCCTCTCGAGTCCAGCCGAAGCCAAAGGCAAGCCCAGTGGGGAGGGGGGAGGAGAGCTGGGCAGCGTGCGTGTGTATGTATGTGTACGAATGTGAGTGTGTGAGTGTGAGTGTGTGCGTGTGCGCGTGTATGTCGGGGATGGTGGGCGTCAGAGCAGCCACTGAGAGATCTTAACACCGGGGTGAGGGTCGTTGGGGTTTCCAAAGTCGTAAGCAACCTCAGCCTGTAGCCTTGCTCCACGCTCGTCTCCCGCTCTCCCCTGCCGGTTACAGTCCAAACTCTCCTCTTTTCCTCGCTTCTCAGTTCTTATTAGTAGACCATATGGATATACATTTATAAGTACGAATACATATAGATATATTTTTTCAAATACAATCTATTTCCACTCACCCGGCAGAGAGCCCGAAAGGAGAAGCGAGGTACCCCTCCACAGGCAACAGGGTGGGAAGAAGTGGGTGCTTTTGAAGGTAGATTGTTTATCTAAAAGAGATCTCCTGGGTGGGGGCTCTGATCTTCTCCTAGGGTAACCCTACTGAGTGTCCAAAGAACAGGAAGAACTGGCGGTCACTCAGGCGGCTGCAGCAGCTGCGGTAGGAGAGGTGTTCCGGGACCGATGGCACGCCGCGGATTCCCTTCTCCCAGTTTCCTTCCCCCGGCCCTAAAAGCGGAGGATGGTCCTGGGTGTTGAGTTACTCTCCACTATCTTTCTTCCCCTCCCCTCCCATGCCGGGGGGTCGGAGCCCGGCTGGGGAGGGGCGCGGGCCGGGCGCCTGCGATTGGCCGGGTCCCCACCTGGAGCAGACACCGCCGTCCCCCAGCTGTTGCGAACAGCTGCTTCTCCTCCTGCGCTCTGTTGAGCTGCCCGGGCTTGGCTCGGGAAGCGAGAGCCAGGGCAGAGTTGGGGATGATTGAGGGGCGGGTTCGCACTTCGTACTGGCTGCTCTCACTAGTCTCAAGTCACAGTTTCACGACCCGGCCTCATCTCTGGAGTCTGGGGCGCGGAGGACAGAGCCTTATTCAAAGTTGCTTTGGTTTCCAAACCTGAGAAAACGCATATGGAAGCTAGGGACTGGCTGTGCGTTAGAGACTTTAGAGAAAGTCACTAGAGTAGCTATCCCGTTCTGAGTGCGTCTGTGTTCTGAAGCGGTGGGGAGTAGCCCTCCCACTCTAGGCAAGGCAAAGGAAGAGGTTGCGTCTGCCAACAGGTTTTTGGGGGTGTAAGGGAGGTGCCGAAAGGAGCAGGAAGCAATTGACAGTGTAGAGATAAAAGTGGGGGGGGGAGGCATAGCTAAAAGGCAGAAGCAGTTGCTTTAGAATGCTGTGCACACAGTAGGCATTTAATGAATGCGGATCCTTTAACGCTGACGACTCTACTGAATCAAATAAGGTAGAGATGGGCATCAGTTACCAATTTCTATTTTGAAATATCATAAAATGAATATTTAGCAGATCAGCCATCCAGATTTCCATCCATGCACCAAACTGGTGGAAGGTTTAAAAGTTAAGTTTTCTCTTAAACGAAAACACAAGCCATTGTCCATTATTTGAGTCTGGCTGGTGGTTTTAAATGCTATCTGCTACCATTTTATTATGCTCTAACCAAAAATTATTTCAGACTTAACTAATGAGGTACACAGGCCTCTATGCCCTCTCTATATTTCAGAAAAAATATGGCTATCAGTGCACCAGGGTGTTTTGAAACAGTTCTCTAGCTTTTAGAATTGTTTTTTTTTTTTTTACCAAGAGTATGTTAAATCAGGCCATAAAACTATTCTAGTTCTCCCTCTTCCACTCCAACTACTGACCTCCCTGACTTCCTTTAAGTGCCAACAAACATCCCACTTTCTGCCATATACCTTCCCTAACTCCTCTTAATTACAAAGCCATCTCTTTTAATTACTTTCTATTTATCCTGTAACTAACTGTGTTGTATATATTTGTTTGCATATTGTCTCCCCCCTCCTTAGATTGTAAGCTCTTGTATGGCATGAACTTGGGAATCTTTATGCCTTTCCGATTGTACCTTTACATTCTACATTATACAATAATCTTTTGTGTCTGCTGGACTGCAAACTTCTTGAGGGCAAGAACCACATTTTATTTTTCTTTGTTCTTTAGTGTCTAGCACAACTTTGCACATGACAGGCTGTGCAAATGCTTATTGAATGAATGAATGAGTGAATATAAGAACCATGAAGTAGATTAGTGTCCAGTAATCTCATTGCATCATTTACTTATAGAATGCAACTTCAAAGTGATTTTGAGTACAAGAACAATGAAAAGTAAAATAATTTGGAGGTGAAATCAGTATAGGGGCAAAAATCAGTTCTTAATGTGTGATTATAACCTTGCCAATTTTAAAAAAGGTGTTTTCATATTATGTAGTCACATCCTATACTTTCTGTTTTTAGGAGATTCTTTGAAGAAAATATATCTCTTAAGGCAGGGGTGCCCAACCTTTTCATGAAGAAGGCTACTTTTCCCCCCTTGAAATCTTAAGAGGAACAGTGAAGCCTATGAGTCTAAGGGATATACTGTCCTCCCTTCTTGATGGGAATCACAGTAAACCACAAAGAAGGGTTTATGGGTGGTGGAGGGCAGTGGTGTAGCATCAACTTGGATACCTACCAGGCTAATTCTCTGAAAATGACCAAGTCTTGCTCCAATCCTATGAGAGAGAGATCTAGTCACTCTAACTCCACTGTACCCAGGATGGAAATGGCCTTCTTAGCTAGCTGATATTTTCTGTTGTTTCCATCTTTCAGATAACATCTCATGAAAGAATAATTCATTTTCTACAAAATGGTGCATAGAAATTTTCTAGTTCTGAAGCTGAAAGATAATTAAAAAAACTTGGTATCCCTTGTTGCTATGTGATTCAGTGTGTGTAGGCATCTGCCCAACAATTGATACTGATACACCTCAGTCTTAGGGGCTATTGCTCCTTGTTTTCCAAAATTAATGTCATGTCCATTTGTTAGCATTGCCTTCTGCATAAAGGTAGTCTCACTTGCAATGGCCCAAACTGTTTTGTTTGGATTTATGAATCTAAGCCATTTTTTACCATGTAGCCTTGAACCTATATTAGCTTTCTGAATTCAGTGTTTCATGGGTATTAAATACCAGATATTTTGGCATGATTATACATTACTAATTCAGGTTTGAGAAACAATACTCGGATGATCCTTTTACTCTCTCAGCTGCTTTTGCCAGTAAGGGATGCTCATGTATTTGTAGTTAAGAGATACAATTTAAGTTTCTTTTTAGTGAAAAATCCATAAACTTTTCTAAAACTGATACATGATTTCCATGCTAGTGAAATTCAAATTAGTCTTCACAGATGACACATAAACCCCAAATTTTCACTCCTGTGTTAATCATATTTGGTTAAAGGAGAGGCCCAAAACAAAAAGTAAGGAGACAGGTTCTACTCTAGATTAGGCCCACTAACCAGGGGTGTTCCCTAAGTTTGTGTCCTCATCACCTCCCATGGTTTCAGTGATCATTTCTATGTTGATGATTCCCATATCTACTTGTCCAGCCCTAGCCTCTCTCCTGACCTCTGGTTTCACATCTTCAACTGCTTCATGACATTTTGAACTGGATGTCTTTTAGACATCTTAAAATCAACATCTCCAAAACAGAACTCATTAACTTTTCTCCAAACACTCCCATTTTCCTAGAATTGTCAAGTGTACCACCATCCTTCCAGTTAACTGGGTTTGCAATCTAGGTTTCACACTCAACGCCTTCTCCTCGCCCCCCATATCCAATCAGTTGTTAAGTCCTTTCATCTTCTTAACATCTCTAGTATATGCCTACTCCTTTTTATCCCAGAAATTGCCACCACCCTGATACCAGCGTTATTGCCTTATGGGTGGATCACAGCAATAGCCTACTGGTTAGTCTTCCTGCCTGCAACCCCTCCCAGGTGCAGTCCTAACATGAAAGTCTGACCATATCAACTGTTCCTCTCATCCCCATTCAATTAACCCCAGTGACTTCTTATCACTTCCAGGATAAAGTGTAAAATGATCTGTTTAGATTTTAACTCCTAGGCACTTAATAAATGACTAAGACAGAGTCATATGACTCTGGGCAAGTCACTTACTCTCTGAGGTTTGGTTTTTAATAGTTTTTTTTTGATGAGGCAATTGGGGTTAAGTGACTTACTCAGGGTCACACAGCTAGTAAATGTCATGTGTCTGAGACTGGATTTGAACTCACGTCCTCCTGACTCCAAGGCCAGAGCTCTATCCACTGAGCCATCTAGATGCCCCTTTTAATAGTCTTAATAATAATTAATCTGTCTACTTTTAGAACTTATTTATTGTGAGGATCATATGAGGTAATGTAGGTATTTAAATGTGCTTTAAAGAGATTGTGGAAAGAACAATATTATGGAAAGAACCAGTACACCTGGGTCTGAATTGTGACTTCTGTCATTACCTGTGTGACCTTCCTAAGGTCACACTCAAATCCTCTAAGCCTCTGAGTCCTTGTATGTTGTACAAAACCATTTTTAAGGCCATCTTTCAGCTCTCAATATCTGTGTGAATTCTTAGCACTAAAAATTGAATATAAGGTATTATTATTTAAATGCTATTACGCACTTTTCATTCAAATTCTTATTTTTCATCTAATTACCTCTTTGAGAACAGATCCAGATTTCATATCCATTAGCTAGAGAAAGAAGAAAATCAGTATAAATTCCTAGGTTTTTTTTGCAAGTGAAATTAAGACTTTGAACAAAACTGAAAACAGTGCTTGGTTTTAGAGACCTGGGAGGGTACTTGAGACTAGATGTATTATTGCCATAGGTCATTATTTAAAAAAAAAAAAAAA